GTCACTCTGTCACGTTGTCGTTTATTAATCGACCCACGTTCTGCCCAAATATCTATATATTTAACAACCAATATATTACTTCTATACATATTTATCGACGGATCGGTTTGCCATAAACTATTTGCCTGAGATATTAAACAACCGACATTTTCAAAGGCTTACTCCTGGCAATTACGGATCCAAGACGAAAAAGATCTACAAGCCCTGTCTCTCGACTTAAGAAATAAATCAGCACGCCGAACTTCTTACTCAATTAATCCACTTCCTTACCATCGAACATCTTGCGAGTTTATAGATCGCTTGAAACTTCCTTGAAGTTGAAGTTTCTAATTCAACTCCTCGCGAGGAAATTACTTTTATCAGAGGACTTACAGCCGCGACTTCGCGATATACTCGACGCGTATTTATTTAAACATTTTTCCTTTAAATGCAATTTCCTACTCTTTAATTCGTCGTGTGAGTACGTAATCTCAATACGGAATGCCTGCGTAATATATATCGCGATAACTCGGAAATACGCACGCGGTTTGTTTGATTAGATATTCTTGTTGGTCCCATGACCACTTCCGGTGCATGAGTGTATTAACTCTCGTTACAGTCATTTTTAGGGAAAAATCCGTCTCGTTAGTAGAAGCTCGTCCTCGCTTCCGAGACTTTTCAGGAATTCCGGGTAATTTGGATTTTTTCTCCAGTTTTTTTAGACGCGCATCCTATCTCGTTAACTTTGCCTCGTAAATTTCGATTCACGTCGGACCTCGGTCACTGCAATATTCGTCGCAATATCCGCCGAGACAATGATACTTTGTTGGGTATTTGCTTCCCGACGATTTATGGGCCGTTCGTCCGTCGGATAGGTCCGATCAAATTAATCTGTAAAGTCGTTCGAAATCGCGGAACCAACTGCGACCCGATAGCGTCGTCCTGAATAGAAATATCTCGTATCTCGTAATTTCATGCGCGAATCACGCGTGCTCACGCCTACGAGGAGACTGCAGTCGTGCTTTCAATTAAGCTCCTTGACTTAACAAAGTCGACGGTGCATCGGCTGGACCGTCGAATTGACGAATTGACGATTGTTCCCGGCGTGCGACGTGTTATCAGTGCACTTTCACGGCGAAACCTGAAGATTTCTGTACGACTTGAATTTCGATCGAATTAACTCGACCTTATCATTAGGTCGATCAATTTATTTACATCGTGGCACCATTACAGGATTCTAATTCTTCTGACTGGATTTTTTTAGTGTACATTTCCAATCAGATGATACGCAATCATGCCGCTGCGACCATTTATGAATAATTTCATCCAACGCAGGGCTAATCGATTTACGTCAGATCTGATTAGGGTGACGATTGAATTCCCGATTATCACCTCACCCGCACGATTTTACTATCGCCACACACAGGGGGAATTAATATCGGACATTATTCAGTGAAAACCAGGGTTTTACTCCGGAGATCTGATAGCGAGGTTTTCCTTTTTTATGGGAAGTTTAACACTCATTTGCATATTCTCGCGTCAGACGGCTGTCGCCAGGAAGTGCCTATATTTATTCCCATAGGTTTTGTTCACCGTTGATTGTGTCACTTGGTCGAAAATTCTTGTACAAATAATGGTATTCAGTACTTGTCGGATTTCGTGTAAATACCGGTTACTTAACGAATGAGAAAAAACGTGTAATCGCGACGTAACAGGTCCTATATACGTTCTTGATAACTGCTCGATGACGAAGGATCGCATTCGTTACGTCACTGATAACAATTTCACCCTCTTTCACGAAGAAAGTCAACGCATTGACTTGACCGTGACGTCAGGGATCATGCTCCGAATTGCATTCAACTCCACCATTAGTCTAATGTACAGTGACAATTAGGAATCCGAAACAGCTTAGATAAAATGAACTAATCTCTAATACGTAACGGGCGATTTCATTGATTACGCACCCGGCCTAGATAAGCGCTCGTAAACGGGAGACATTCGTTTAGGTCCGCGGTCGGCCGTTAATTGAAAATTCATGCCTCCAGCAGCGAAATCCTCGGCTGGCCGTCGTTTACACGGAATTGCACTCGACTTCCGCTCCCGCGAGGAGACTCTCGATAAATCGTGATAATCCGCCGTTCGGGCGAGGTGTCGACCTTTTTCCAAATCGTAACTTTGGCCCCAGCTCGACAATCGAAATCCGTGGTATTAGGGATTTTGAACCGACCTCTTGCTCGGCTCGTTTACTTTTCCCTTGGGTTATTTTAATGGCGTCGTTTAATAACAGTCGTATTGCGAGAATGCGCGCAAAGTGGCCGCCATGTTTACTCGTAAGAGATGTAAAAAGAGAACGAGTCGGATCGCAATGCTTAGGCCCGGAGAATTTCACCGAGAGAATGGGAAGTACTTCGGTCCGTTTTTGGCGGGGTAATCTGGGATTTTAATTTTAGGGTGCAATTTGTGGACCTCTTATTCAATGAACGCTCGTCTTCGGTTGGCTTCCTAATTTTTCTATTTATTTCCTCGCGCGTCCTCGTATGTCGATATTTCGGATGTTTTGTGCAACGCGACTAATTCCTCTGAATTCACTTGAAAATCTAAGGTAACCGGCGTTTCATCTACTCGGAGAAAGAATTCGATGTACGGGGGGAAAAAGGCAGAAGAACGTAGGAAGTCTCGTTTTCCCATCCAGGAGTCTGGAACGAATTCCCATCTTTCAGGCCCTACATTTAAAAAATCGATAAAAACGCGCAGAGAGTCCTTTCGCGATTACTGTCTGCGACTTCTTTACGAGCCCCCTCCCCTCGTAAGGTTTGACGTCACGACACTCATGCAGTGCCGAACAAAGCGATTTTTGCACTTCAAAGAGTGGCAAAAAGCAGCCCGCCGAGCACTTTTAGAGAGACCCGTCCGGGAAAACTCGCGAATGTGGATCACCGACCACGAACTGCTCGCTTCGTTTTATCGGCCGGCAGTTTTTTGTCTTCTTCTTTTTTTCTTTTTTTTCAAATTCTAGCCGGGAAGATAAAAAACGAGCCAGGCCCGACTTCCGTTTCGCGGACCAGGGAGAAATTCGCACGTTCGCGAAGTCTTCGGTGATTCGAACCATCGTCAGAAATGATTGATGCTCAACGTTCCATTCCATTCGATATTGATTTCCTTTAGCGTGCTCAGATGTGCCTTATAGGAATATGTCAGCATCTTGACAGCCTGACAGTTTGTAGATATTATTTTCCACCGTATTTACTGCGCCGCGGCAGGAGTGGAAAAATGAAAGACTTTCGACCCGCGACATTATTGCCTATCGGTTCTCGAAATAACTCCGAGTAATCTTAATTTCCTTCTAAATCGACGGAGAATTTCACAAATGTTAAGGAGACAAAAGTCAAGATATATTTCACTTGAAAGTATCTGCGGCAGTCCGTAATTTCTGAAATCTCGTGGTTATGTACAATGTGGAATGAGAAATTGATCAACGTTTGAAAATAATTCTTTAAGAGCTTGATGAATTCATTCGTTCTATGCCGTCTACCAAGAATCAATGGGATTGGGGTTGTCGTTCCACAATTACTGTCTATGAACTCTTTGAGTCCCTCTTTAGGCTCTGACGTCAGGACATTCATGTGTCAAACAGACCTACGTCGATACTTCAAAGGGAGGGTGTAGAAAAGTAATCTGACACGCATTTTTTTTCGAGAAACTTGAATGAGTTGTCAAGGCAACGAAGAAAGTGCCTATTTATACCGCCGACCAAAAACCGGCATAAGAGATCAAAATGGCAAAAAATATATCTTGCGAATCGCTTTCATCAAAAATTAGACTTTGCATATTTTTTCCTATTCTACCTTTACACATTTTTCTTTTTTAATTAAATTTCAATCCTCACACATCAACGGCAATTTGATAGAGTGATACCGCTAAGAAGATAGAAATTAATGAGTATTAAATTAATGCTCACTCACGAATATTATGAGGAACGTGGATTATGCCTTTTAAATGGCAATCAACGAGATCCTGATATTTAAAAAATAGTCAAACACCCGCAAAGTGTACATTGCTCGCTGAAAGTAAATAATGAACGAGATCTTTCAGATGGTCGGTTTTATCGGTGCACTAAGGAGACCTGTGATAACATTTTTTTTGTGGCATTTAAAACGTTCGGCATTTTCTATCCTCGTACGTTACTTCCGCGTTGGTTCTCTTAATATTTTCTTCCAGCGTACAGAGAGTCGACAGAATAGACAATTGAACGACGATCGATATCGGCCGATAGTACTCGTGCAACCGCGCTATTCACGGGTATTTATACGGCTGCCTAATGACGTTCCTTTTCTTTCAGTCGATACCGGAAGTGATCGTTATCCCGACTGACATCACTAAATAAAGGGCTCGAGGCCAAAGGCGAAAATTCAATCAAACTGACGAATTGGGTGTTTTGAGGGGAAAAGAAAAAAAATTGCATAACGTCAATTAATGCCTTCGGAAATACGCATTACGTCTACAAATTTCATCCGGAATTGGTTGAACCCGGTGAAAGGGAAAAGTCACGCCCTTGTCATTTTTAACAACAGTAATTCCTATATAAAGAACGATTAAGGTATAGTGCCTCAAAACGGATAAAAGTTTCGAGCGTTTAACGCAGGAATTTGAAAGGGATCCGTTTCTGCGTAAAATACGGCAGAAATAAACCAATAAAAAAACATCCTATCAACTAATTCAATTACACTAACGATTGGAGAATTGTGGATGAATTGTAGCTGTGAATCGTTTTTACGTTAGGTTGTAAAATGTCTTCAGGAGTTCCCTTAATTTTATTTCATTTGCATATCTCGAAGAATTTTGTTCATTTAGGTCTATGATGTCCACGTATATTATGTTTTCAAAGCAAAAAAAAGAGAAATCAGCCAAGAAAGTCGCCTCAATCACCATCGCAACCTTCAAGTTTTGTTAATTTTACCAATTGAATTTATTGACTCACCGTGAAAAGTGCATGATGATTTTTGGTTGACCCCTTTTTTCAGCATGGCCGCTCCGATTCGTACAGGGTCGCCACGTTGCCCAACATTCGCGATGACAACAAAACCGCCGACGGAATGTACAAGGTATAATGATGAGAAAGAAAAAAAAGGAAACGGAGAAGAATGAAGTAAATCCTGCTGTCGGTGATGGGCTTGCTTTCTGGGAATTCTGATCTTAAAAGTGGCTACTGCTTGAAGAGAACTCGAACGCTCAGGGTCGGCTCTCGAAACTGGCCTCGAGAATCTCCACCTTCCAAAATCGATTTCTTTTCTGCTCCTTCAGATCCATATCTTTCCACTTCCTCGAGCCGTACATCCTTCCTCCTTAAAATAGAAGAAAATTACTCTCGACTTCTCCCCATCATTTTGACTGAAACTATTATTCCTCCAAACCACTGTACTGCTTTTTTCCCCTCTAACTCAAAATTTTCTTATTTAATATTCCTGGCCAATATTCCTGCAACATATCGCGGATCTTATGTCCCACTTACATCCCTTCAACTTGTATACATGATCTGGGGAAATGCTTTCTTAAGCTTGTCTATCCTCTTGGCACTTAATTCTTGTAATGGTTTGACGTTTCGGAAATCTCTGCGCAGGCTTTACTACGGCACTTGGTCTTTCAAAGTTGGTCTTTCTGGTATCCTTGGTCGTTCTTCCTCTTGCAGCTGACTCTCTGATGGTTGGTTCTCTTTCTTCTAAATCTCTCGTCGTTCTCTTCTTACTTCTACAGTCGTCGGGTCTCTTCCATCTAACTTTCCGCCAATAATCCCACATCTTCGTCGTCGGTACTTCCACTTTCAGCTTTCTGAGCGTCGACCCTCCTGTCTCTAACATCTCGGTCGTCGATTCTACTTTTAACACTTGACTAACCCCCGAGATGTCCGACATACCGACTCTTCGACTTGGTCTTCCAGTTCACGCTAAACTTTCCGGCGAGCTCTTTCGAAACGCTGGAACAACTACGATAATTACCCTCACTAACATTGTGTGTCGAGTGCGCAAGTACTTTGCGCCCGAGAAGTGCCAATTATGTAGGTTACACGAGTACACCCGTCCACGTGCATGTGCACGGGTGTACTTGGTCGGTACCACCTTATGTAACGAATGTGCAAAAAACCGTACTCGATGCTTCTCTCCTTCACGATTGCACGCATTTCCTCGCGTCGACTCTTGATCGAGGAAATATCTTAATTACGCGCAAACTACGAAACAAAGTAAAGTCAACTGCTTTCGAGAGAATCCGAAAGAAGTCGTTTTAAGTTAGAAATAAAGGCAAGATGCTTCGCGAGTTTCCTGGACTCGAGGAAAGGCGTTCCGCACTCTGCGATTAGAGTCGAACGACTGTCAACGTCTTCCACGAGAGGGACTCGCCCCGCCTCTCCGGTTCGTCGGGCTCCTTTCAATTAAAGGGTTAACGGGGTCAATTCATTAACGGAATTATTTGTCACGTCAACCTTCGGCCGTGGCGTCGCAAAAACCAAGAGACTCGAGCCACTCTCTCGAAAGCGGTTCTCGTCCGTTCCGTTTTGGCGAATCGTCTTTCCCGGGACGGTAAAAATGTTAAAAAGGACGGCACGTTGACTCACTGTTCTCTTTGTTACGTTTAGTCGCGGCGGAAGAACCCAAAGCGGAGGGGGGACAACTTGGACGACTTGAAGCAGGAGTTGGACATCGACTTCCACAAAATCTCCGCGGAGGAGCTCTACCAGCGATTCCAGACACACCCTACAAACGTGAGTAACTTTTCAATTAATGCATCGGCATTATCATTTGCGATTCAAAAATCGGCACCCACGCCGAATTTTCTGTCACAAAATAATGTATCTCTTGTTTATGTATCGCCCGATTTCGGGTAGTCATCCAACAGGGAATTTTATTTTTCGATCAGCCTAATTTCTTTTGCCATGCAACGGGAATTTCATTAATCCGAAATGAAGAAATCCCGATTAAGAAATTTCACGTTAATCGCGATTGATGGAATCAGCCTTGGGGGCGGGAAAGGTCGTAGTAATCCATATCGATGCTTCGAATTTGCAGGGCCTTAGCCACGCGAAAGCAAAGGAGAACTTCGAGAGGGACGGGCCGAACGCGCTGACGCCTCCGAAGCAGACGCCAGAATGGGTCAAGTTCTGCAAGAACCTCTTCGGGGGCTTCGCTCTCCTCCTGTGGATCGGCGCGATCCTCTGCTTCATCGCGTACTCGATCCAAGCCACGACGAGCGAGGACCCGAACGACGACAACCTGTACCTGGGCATCGTCCTGGCGGCGGTGGTGATAGTGACGGGCATCTTCTCCTACTACCAGGAGAGCAAGTCCAGTAAGATCATGGAATCGTTCAAGAACATGGTGCCGCAATTTGCGACCGTCTTGAGGGAGGGCGAGAAGCTGAACCTGAGGGCGGAAGAGCTGGTCCTGGGCGACGTGGTCGAGGTCAAGTTCGGCGACCGGATCCCGGCCGACATCCGGATCATCGAGTCGCAGGGCTTCAAGGTCGACAACAGCTCGCTGACCGGGGAGTCCGAGCCCCAATCGAGGTCTCCGGAATTCACGAACGAGAACCCCCTGGAGACGAAGAACTTGGCATTCTTCTCGACGAACGCGGTCGAGGGCACGGCCAAGGGCGTCGTGATCTGCTGCGGCGACAACACGGTCATGGGCAGGATCGCCGGTCTGGCCTCCGGCCTGGACACCGGCGAGACCCCCATCGCCAAGGAGATCCACCATTTCATCCACCTCATCACCGGCGTCGCGGTCTTCCTCGGAGTGACCTTCTTCGTCATCGCCTTCATCCTCGGCTACCACTGGCTCGACGCGGTCATCTTCCTCATCGGTATCATCGTGGCTAACGTGCCGGAAGGTCTGCTGGCCACCGTCACGGTGTGCCTTACCCTCACCGCCAAGAGGATGGCCTCCAAAAACTGCCTGGTCAAGAACCTCGAGGCCGTCGAGACTCTCGGCTCCACCTCGACCATCTGCTCCGACAAGACCGGGACCCTGACACAGAACAGGATGACGGTGGCTCACATGTGGTTCGATAACCAGATCATCGAGGCCGACACCACGGAGGACCAGTCCGGAGTCCAGTACGACCGAACCAGTCCTGGATTCAAGGCCCTCGCCAAGATCGCCACCCTCTGCAACCGAGCCGAGTTCAAGCAAGGTCGGTTCCCCGCCCGGTTGTTTCTCGGCTTGCTCCTTGTACCGCGACTCGTGATTAAGGCTAATCTTAATTACGTTAGATATGTGCCGCGAATCGCATCCTTGGTGTGACACGTCTTGACTGTACATTAACGTCGTGATGATTCTATTGTTCAATATAAATGACTAAACATTTTGCCTGACGCTGTTATAGGTCAAGAGAAGAAGCCGATCCTGAACAGGGAGGTGAACGGAGATGCGTCCGAAGCTGCGCTTCTGAAGTGCATGGAACTTGCCCTCGGTGACGTGATGGGCGTCAGGAAGCGCAACAAGAAGGTCTGCGAAATTCCGTTCAACTCGACCAATAAGTATCAGGTCTCCATCCACGAGTCCGACGACCCCAAAGACCCTCGACACCTTCTGGTGATGAAGGGCGCCCCCGAGAGGATCCTGGACCGGTGCTCGACCATCTTCATAGGTGGAAAGGAGAAAGTCCTCGACGAGGAGATGAAGGAGGCCTTCAACAACGCTTACCTCGAGCTCGGTGGTCTCGGGGAGCGTGTCCTCGGGTTCTGCGACTTCACCTTACCATCCGACAAGTTCCCCGTTGGGTACAAGTTCAACTGCGACGACCCCAACTTCCCAGTTGAAGGTCTCCGCTTTGTGGGTCTCATGTCCATGATCGACCCGCCCAGGGCTGCGGTGCCGGATGCGGTGGCCAAATGCCGATCCGCTGGTATCAAGGTCATCATGGTCACCGGCGACCACCCTATCACTGCCAAAGCCATTGCCAAATCCGTCGGCATTATCTCTGAAGGTAAATTCCCTCTAGAACCACGTAAATCGTTTATCACTCCCCGTAATCGAATTTCTATCATTAACGATTCCCTTAAATAGGATGCTGCGTCAACCTACTGAGACCCGGATTGCTTCTTTTCATCTCTTCGGAGCATGCCGTAATCGAATTGTAATTTGAGCGATTTTCTCTATCAGGTAATGAAACTATCGAAGACATCGCCCAGCGCCTGAACATACCTGTATCCGAGGTGAACCCCCGCGAAGCCAAGGCTGCCGTGATCCACGGAACCGAACTCAGGGAACTCAACTCCGATCAGCTGGACGAGATTCTCAGGTATCATACCGAAATTGTGTTCGCCCGAACCTCGCCCCAGCAGAAGCTCATCATCGTCGAGGGGTGTCAGCGTATGGGTGCCATCGTGGCTGTAACCGGTATGTATAAAATGGGAAGAAATCTGTATTACCAAGCAACCTTAGTGACAAATATCAGGTACTTGGGCGTTGCGCATTTGTCCTCTCTTAACGATATATCCCTAATCAATAAATTTTCGCCCTGCGATGACGAAATTGGCTCTCGGTTTTATAAATTCTATAGGTAACTCGGTACCCCTAGATATGAAATCACCAAGCTAGAAACTAAGAATTTAACCGTTTATTTATCAATTTCCGTTCGTCTTGTCAAAGTCGGCAATTATGGAGTCCATTGATTACACTTGACTGAAGGTATCGATTTTCCTTAGGCGACGGTGTGAACGATTCCCCGGCCTTGAAAAAGGCGGACATCGGAGTCGCCATGGGTATCGCCGGGTCAGACGTCTCGAAGCAAGCTGCCGACATGATTCTGCTGGACGACAATTTCGCCTCGATCGTCACCGGTGTCGAGGAGGGACGTCTAATTTTCGATAACCTGAAGAAGTCCATCGCCTATACCCTCACGTCCAACATACCGGAGATCTCGCCTTTCCTGGCTTTCATCTTGTGCGACATCCCTCTGCCGCTCGGTACCGTTACCATTCTCTGCATCGATCTGGGAACCGACATGGTAAGTCAACGACATGGCATGGAGATCCTTATTAATCTCGAGAACCGATTCCCCCAGACTAGAAAGATCGTATTCGACGGAGGATGACGATGCCCTCCGATCGGGTGACCTCCCTATTCGGGAAAGAAATCGGTCCTCGACTCCACATAATCTCTCTCAACAGATTTTCAGGAACCTCTCGCATATATTTCTCATACATGTCCCATATACATCGATTAATCTCTTAAGTTAGTATAACCCTTATTTCGAAATAACGTCCCTCGAGCTGGCTACGAGCCTACAGAAACGCCAACGACGTTCCCTCGAAGAAGGCAGAGCAGGACCCTGACATTTGAGGTGGTTCCCTGATCGACTCAAACCTGGAATGCTGATTGGCAGGTACCTGCCATCTCTCTGGCGTACGAGCATGCGGAATCGGACATAATGAAGAGGAGACCTCGGGACCCGGACCACGACAACCTCGTCAATGAAAGGTTTCTCGAGCCCGAGTTGGCAGCAGTAGCGAGAGAGCAAAGCCCACCGATAACCATTTCCAATGCTTCTTTGACACGTAACAGCAGATTCGCTGCAGTAGTGCCAGGCAGAGCTCCTGCGCGCAGCTGCGAAGGTCAGCTGCAGGCGTAGCAGATGTATATAGCGTCGGTGCCTTAGATAATGGAAATGGAGCTAATTCCCAGTAGATATTTCTCTCGGCTCTCCAGGATGGATTGACCCCCAACCATCGTATACCCAGGAGTTGGCCAACTTTCGCAAATGATTATCTTTTTATTCCCTCAAGGACTAGGCTACTCCGGGTTGCGATGCGCATCCCAGGGTACCTTTGGTCTCATTTTCCTTAAGGATCTTTATTTCCAGGACCATGAAAGAGTTGCAGTTTCCTGGGAACAATCTGCTCGACGTATCTATCCACCTCGTGAATCTCCTCCGATTCTCCCGTCACCCCCTTGTACCGCCTTCTTCCACCGATCACCGTTCTCCATTGTGTCGCATCGTTTAATTTATTTCATTTGATTTGCCAGATATCCCGACAATTAGCCGATGCGCGAGGATGCTGAACGATCGCGCTCGATTGGTCCTGAGAGTCCTCGATCCTTTGGGCAGCCCCGGGGAGAACTCTCAGCCGGATTTGTCCACGTTCAGTGTCCTCGCCTCGGAGCAATCACGCCCGATCATGTAACGGCATTGTTATTGAGCTTGTTGATAATATGACGTCAGGTACCCGCCATCTCGCTAGCCTACGAGGAGGCAGAGAGCGATATTATGAAGCGACAACCACGAAACCCCTTCACTGACAAGCTAGTTAACGAAAGGTAACACATTACACCATACGAAATCCACACGGCACACCGAGGTCCCTCGATGGAAAGAGTCGCCGCGACCGTGGCTGACTCTGAATCTCGATCTATCGATCTCGGATCGGCCTCGTTTCCAATAGATCCTTCAGAAAATAATTTATCCAAAACGCAAGAAAAAGAAAATAGAATTGATAAGGATAAAGTTTTACTCTTGGGATGATATTGAGAAGTGTCATGGAAGTGGATCTCTCTTTTATTATCATTATTTTTCTTAAATAATGGGGATTTAATTCAGAGATCGAGGGGAACTCCGAAAGGAAAATCCTTGACCTCGTCGCGGTGACTCTGGCCTGGTCGACCTTGACCGTACACTATTTATTAATATCCTATGGTTATACTTAGTAGTTAGTTATTCTATTTCATATTGTCTTCCTTTAAACTCAACACCGAGAAAGCACACTCGACATCACCTATATTGATCTCTTTCTCTTTTTTCTCTTTCTATCTTTTTTCGCCCGTCAATCGATACCCACGTATGACAGGGGTTTTTGTACGGGGTTCGACCGATTTGCGGGCAAATTAGTCCCTACATTTTGATTTTTTTTTTTTTTTTATTAACTTGATTCCTGTATTTTTCTTCCTCGGAATCAAGGCTTCTCTCTCACGACGGTAGATCCTGTCTTGGTAGAATTTCTTACAATACAAAAAGTCACTGTTAAGTAGACTTCTGTCATTTTTTTTACCGACATTGAAACGTGCTATTGTGTCGAAGTGCCTGAATATTATGTGAATTAAGTAAGGGAGTAATTTGCTCCGCCGGTATATAAAATTAATTAGAGTTACGTGGTGGCTTACACGGTGCAGGGAAACACAGAGGGTTACAGTCGAAGGATATTATTTAAGAGAGACAACGATATATCCAGTTCTAAGGACGACAACCCCCACTATATTCCCACTTTTACTCTCACTATTCTCCACAGAAATGCTATTCTACTGGCCGAAATTGCTCGTTCAAGATTTTTTTTTTCCCCCGAAAATCTGAAAGATATCTAGGTACCCGACTCCCGTAAGGAAAATCAACGATTAAAAATTACTTCTTTTTAGTGTAAATAAAAAAAAAAAAGAAAGGTCTCGAACGAACAATCGTCGAGCCATCTCGATGATTTCTCTTCTTTTCGCGAACAGTTCACCAGACGGTTCCACGATCGTGAAAAAGCTCATCATCGGTTAGGGTGTAATTTCATTTGTCAAGGTAAGCCATCTCTCTTTCTTTGATCATGCTCTCCTTTTGTCCAGGGTCCCAGGACACCGTCTCATTACCCCATGATCGCTTCTAATCGTCGCAAGAAGCCGACCGAAAATTGATTTTTTTCAAGTAATCCTCTGTCATTGACTTCTATGAATGAAAATTAAACAACTACGATCGCGTCAGCGAGTGACAACGTTATGGGGGAAAAACAAAAAAAGAAACAACAGGACGCAAGATCTCTAGAAAGAGAGACCATAGGCTCGATTCGCATGTCCGTACTCCTCTGATCCGCATTTCACCCATTGTCTCTCCCTGTCTAAATTTTTTCTCTCATTGACCTGTGCCTCTTAAGCCATCTCTCTTTCTCATTCTCACTCTCTATATTTTTCCCTACGAATTTTGCCACCTGCCCGCCGGTCGTACCGAGAAACACCCCAAACTAAATAGGATCCCTAAAATCACTCGGTAAATCCTCCGGTAACTCGAGGACTTCATCGGAACATCCGAAGTTTCCCTGAAAGACCTAAAATGGGGTCGCATAAAATGAGAATGAAATAAAAAAAAAATAGGGGATAAATCGGTACGACCTCGTAGGGCCGTCTTAACTATCACGTCTACGTTGTACTTCGTATTCTGGTTTCCTTGAGACGAATTATGCCTAGTCTGTGCCCCTCTAAGTCTTTCAGCCTCCCCACCAAATCCTCGGCTGTCTTTGGCATCGGTCCAGGGCGTTCTCCCGCTATGCCTCGCAGAAAGGACCGAAATTCACCCTCGATTCCACCGGAGGTCCCGCTTCCGACGCCCCTGGCTCCCACGGCGAAAGAAGGGGGATCGGCCCCGTATAAACGTAAAAGCGTATGCAAATTACACCTGACCGATTACCGGTGGAATCGGCGGGGTCGTCCCTGAACATTGTGGAATTGCTCGTGTTACGTAACTCGTCTCGTGATTCGTCTGGCCGTGTGTGTAAATCCGTCATGTCGCTGGTGTCACGTGTGACTTGTCAGCGTTCCATTCGGCCCGGAAGAATTTAACCGAAGGCCGAGAATCGAATCTAGAGGGAGCGAGCCGAAATTCTCGGAAAATCGGGAAACTCGAGAGAAATTGAGGGATTTTAGGATACCCGGAGAAAATTGGCCTTACATCGTCGAGGGCGCCACGGTTACCTCCTCGTCCTTGATCCTTCCTTACCGACTGTACCAATGTCAAAAGTTATGATAATATGACCCGTTATATATTCAACCCTCGTTGTTAGTTGGTTTTAGAGTCGGGTAGCAAATCCATCCAGCTACGTATGTACATATAGACCTGTAAATATAAATCTGTATGCACCTAACCGTACGCGTATACCTGGAACGCGTTTAACCCTTCCGGAGCATTTTCGCCATCTTGGTCGCTTATTTTCAACGAATGCGTGTACACGGATTTTTTACGTCCTCGCTAGACCTTCGTTCTTTCTATCGTGAACCAACGTCACTGGTTAAGGGAAGACGCGGTCTCGGGGGTTTCCTCAATTTGCACAATTTCCTGCTTGTGGCTGCATCATCTCGCGCTGTGGCCTGCCACTCTTCGATTTCAGATGTTCTCTCTAGCTTCGAAAGATGTGTTTCACCAGACTCTACGACAGTCTGAGGACAGGGATCGATCTCGTCCCGGCATGGCTTGTGGCGTCCCCGAAGCTTTGACAATTCAATTTTCAGAATTTGGCTCGCAGCTTTAATCGAATCGTGTTCCAGGTATACATGTACTGTTCAGTGCCTGTATAACGTTTATATATCTTATTTATCACTACAACTATACAGCCACCATTACTATACTATTTACCATTGTTACCTCTACCACTGTCACAGCTGTACTGCCTCTACTATTGTTACTGTGCTGCCGTTTACTTGCTCTAACGATATCTCTTACCACCTCTACGATGTATATGTACATGGATATGTACCTACCACCGCAAGGCACCTACGATTGGCCGAAACATTTTCTTACAATTCTTTCTAACAATTCTTTTCACAGTTTTATCATTATATTCTGTAATGCGCTGCCTACGCCGCTAACTTCCACCCCTCTACGAAGCGATTTTTTTAAGGGCTCGATTAACTAGGGATCTAGATTGAGGGAAACGGGAGACTTCGGAAGCTGTGTTCCGATGGAGCATTGCTTTTCTGAATGTGACATTTTTTTTTTTTAATTATTGCAGTCGTCAAACTCCTTGTAATCGGTTTTTATACCTAAAGCACTGGCCGTACGATCCATGTCCTGAAAGAAATTTGTATACTGAGAAACAATTAATTGTATTAAGTTATCGGGCATACTTGTTTACAATTTCTGAATTTGCTGGTGTATATTTTGGATCAATCTAAATACATCATTGCTGACATCGGAACATAGCTGGAAACCGAGAAATGTGAATTAGAAATCAGATCCAAGGAGCGATGTCGCGAAGTAAAATGCGGAAGTACGTGGATAAATAGCAATTAACGTAACTCGAAGAAAGAAAAAAAAAAGAATGTAATTGAAAGGAGAACGTTCTAAGTCGTATTCCTGTAATTTTGAGTTAACCGCAATTGCTATATTATAGAATATAATATTGCTACGTAATAATAAGCAATTGACCAAGAATCGTAGATAGGAAAATCGTCGCAACGATGGCATGGAAATTTCACGGATTTATTCGACCTTATTCTTTACCCTTATTTAGTGTGACAGAATTAAGAAACACGGTAAAACTACTCGAAGGAAATCGTAGCCAGGAATTTAAAGGCATTTTACTCCGCGACATCTCAGAGGAACGAATCGCAAGGGCGGAACGCAGTTGCAATTCCTTCGGTACTCTCGAAAGTTCCCACGATAAGAAAAGGATCTTCCCTTTCTTGTCGAGGCGGACTTCCGCTTCTCGAATGGCACGAGATAATTGTCCACGCTCTCGCCGCGTCAGTGCGCGACCGCTCCGCCATCTTTTCCGAGTTATTACTTCTTCTTTTTTAATGTTTATACCGTCAGAGATCAATCGTTACTTCGAATAACCCACGGGATAGAAAAAGAAAGTTTTCCCAAGAGATGCAAAGAGCGCTTTGGCACTGACTCGCGCGGCCGTGAGATTTTCACCCATGTCACAGAAAGGGCGCATTTAGGGCAGAGGTGAGCATTGACGTGAGATGACATAATGTTGAGAAATCGCTAGAGGGACTAATGATCGATCAGGAAGACCGGAGCGGACTCGAGTAGATGTCGCCTCGTATGCGCCCTTACGACTCCCCGATTTCTTGATACTTGTGATGACGGTGTATCGCTCGCATGTCGCCGATCGGGTCTTCCAACATTTTTTCTAATCGATCCGGTGGATGGCAGGTGCCGGCCATCTCACTAGCCTACGAGGCACCGGAGTCCGACATTATGAAACGGCAGCCCCGCGATCCTTACAGAGACAATCTTGTTAACCGAAGGTGGGTTCTCACTCTGCCCACCGTGCACATAGCACCCCCATGCATCCCCGAATCACCGACTCTTTACCCATGGAAACCGAATCTTGCTTTTCAACCAGACCGGAGGGTAGCCAAACTCGGACCGGTCCGAAAATTGCTGAATCTCCTGATATCTACAAAAAGTCGAAAGAAAAGCAGCAAGTGCAAAAATAGAAAACGCGGGTATAATTGGAAATCGGTGAAAACTACGCATAATCGTATAATTGTATTACGAACGACTCGAGTTTCATATTGAATTAAAAAGATTTTGTTTCAGATTTTTTTTTTTTTTTTTTTTCATCCGTAAAAGTACAATACGATATCGTGGCGCTCGCGGTAACATTGATAAGAGAGGAATTTACGCGTGGATCGGATCGATGCTCTGATAATCGAGAAATCTTATATCGTTTGGCTGCTCGCCGACGAAATTAATGGCACCGCGTGGATTCATTCAAATGGCCACGGAAACATATTGCATGATTTATTTTTAAATTCCGATTAAATCAAGAATTACATTTTTCTATCATTTTTATAATCGTGACGGGAAAAATTACTATCACGAGCGTTTTCGCAGAACTTGTCAATCGTTCAATATTTTTGAATTTCTTTTCTCTTTGGGACATAATACATTGGCATCTATAAAAAATGTCTTCCCAATTCCTATTTGGAAGAACAGTGTTCGGAATGAAAAACGGCGATACAAACAATCAGCAATTAAGCTGTTTGTTTGAATACTAATTGCATCTACCATGCGGTGCCTAGTACATGCAAAACTAAACACGTGACATACATTAACTCACAGCGCTACTTTTTTTTTTTGTTCCTTAGGATCTTAATAACAATTAATGGCACGGCAAAAATTAGATCTAAAGCTGTGGCATGCACTGAAACGTTCTAGAATCATCTGAGCAATGAACAATTTCGCCCAGCACATACAAAGTCTCGCTCTCGAAACATAAATTGTACTGATTGTTAGAATACTTAGTCGTTAGCCGGAATGATCTGTTTAGTCATAGATTTTGTGTTACTTAACGGAATGCCAAAATGCGCAAATGATTTTTTTTTTTTTTTTAAAGCGTGCATGGCCAAGGTAACTCCGCAGCCAATATGCCGATCTGTTTACTGTGTACTGACTTCTCTGGACAATTATTCGCGTACTTTGACTCTTGCCAACCTACTCTTATCTCTTCTTCAGCCATCGATACGAACCTCACTTCTGATCTCCTACAACTCTGAATAGTCCTAAGGTACTGCTTCCACTCTGTCACCAACTCTATATTACCTCCTTATGTCCATGATATCAATTCTGTAAGTTCACGACTTGACGGAACCATTCAGGACGGCTACGAAAAAAATCTAACACGCAGCTCTGTAACCATGTAATGACTGACTTCGTAAGGCAATCGTTGTCCCACCGATTTGTAATAATTTTTAATATTTGTATAGGCTAATAAAACGTCTAATTGCACTAAAGAAAAAATTAAGAACATGTCAGGGCTAAGAAATGCCTACAAAGAAGATATTTGCCCGTTTTGGAGGATACCTCACATTTTCTTTATGGCTTACATTGCTGACAAGAAATGATTTTGCAAGCACTCGTAATTTTGTCCATTTATGAGCGTAGTCTTCTTAAACGAGTGAATTTTTAATATTTGTATAGGCTAATAAAACGTCTAATTGCACTAAAGAAAAAATTAAGAACATGTCAGAGCTAAGAAATGCCTACAAAGAAGATATTTGCCCGTTTTGGAGGATACCTCACATTTTCTTTATGGCTTACATTGCTGACAAGAAATGATTTTGCAAGCACTCGTAATTTTGTCCATTTATCAGCGTAGTCTTCTTAAACGAGTGAATTGTCTGATAGTCCTGGAATAATTCAAACGCGGTTATTAAAATTAAACGATAAATCTTACGAGGTCAGTCAAGCTCTAAATGTCGCCTAAAAGCGTGTGTCTCCCCTGGGAATTTTTCCGACTTACCGGGAAGACGATCGGAAAATGTACTTTCTTGCATTTTCAAGAACGTACTCGGCAATGTCGTGAAAATCTCTCAGTGATTCAATGTGGCGTGTCAGTGTGGTATGTCTAAGCATTTATCGGAGACGATTGCAAGTCCATCCATTGTCGCCGCCGGTGAGTACCCCATTTTGACTGGAAGATTCGCTAGAGCCTCAGATCTAGGTAATACATCGGTGCAATGCGACATATCCTTCGGCTTTCTAACTAACCCACATTAGGCTCACTTAGTGATAAATAATTTAGAAATTAGCGCCACACCCCGCAGTTACCCGGTTTACGGTGGACCGCGATGGCATTGTCTTATCACGGCAATACGTTTCTCTCGACAATTCACGTACACGGCAAGCAGCTTTTTACGACGAGCCATCTAAAATGAAATCGTGACCAACTTGCTCGGGTAATTCAATGATATTTAAAGTGACTCTTCAATCGTTTAAAACATTTAATGTTCGATATGTAAATAGAAAACATTTTGCTTTTAATGATCGCCGTTAATTGGTGCGCAAGTTGGTTACTCCCACTGGGGATATACCTAGGGTGACTCGTAACAGGTAACGTCTGTAATGTATCAATTTACCTGGTCGTTTTCGGCCGCATTAGTCTTCCTAGTGTTTTCGCCGTAGCTTGTTCTGTGATATATTATTTATTGGTTTGTTTAATGGCAAGCACGTAGCCTGAGCGCACATTGACGAGCCACACGACACGTGACTCCTACATACGTACACGACACACAAGTATACATACATACACCTTGCCAATGTACAGCTTGCAGAACGAGCTACACGAAAGAGTTCCGACTTCGGAAAAGGAGTCCACCGTAAACCGACATTCGCGCGAAACGGTGAGACGAGAAGAACAGAACCTAACGCTTATCGCTCTCTCTAGGCTTATCTCCATGGCGTACGGACAAATTGGCATGATCCAGGCCGCTGCTGGGTTCTTCGTGTACTTCGTCATCATGGCTGAAAACGGCTTCCTCCCGATGACCCTCTTCGGCATCAGGAAGCAATGGGACTCCAAGGCCATCAACGATCTTACCGACAGCTACGGCCAGGAATGGGTATAATTGTCATTTTCACATTTCACTATAACCCAGCTGTTCGTTTATGCGTACGTAACGAAATAATTCCCCGTAGGATTCGAAGCACTTCCTGAGCAAAAGACGATAAAAAACGTCTCTCCTTGTTCAGGGTAGTTGATTTAAAAAATATCAATAGTTTTCTGATGGACTCCCGTGGAACCTATAGAGGCCCACCAAGTAAAAAACGTCATTCCAATTATCGCATTAAGTTCGATTATTACTGGCCTTGAATAATTATAATATAACCACATTAGTAATTATTAAGGGGCTCAGAAAAATATTCTAAGAAGGTTTTGCAACTCAGGTGGTTAATGGTTACGTTGTGGATCCATGAAGCGGATAAATGAAGAGACAAACGGATATAATTAAAATCAATCGGATAAGATTAAATCTTCCTTGGTACTTATGGGTGTATTATGACGTATGGCTTTATTTCACAGACATTCAGAGACCGTAAGACGCTAGAGTTCACATGTCACACGGCATTCTTCGTATCCATCGTCATTGTACAGTGGGCGGATTTGATCGTCTGCAAGACTCGCCGCAACTCCATCCTCCACCAGGGAATGAGGAACTGGGCCCTGAACTTCGGTCTGGTCTTCGAAACGGCCCTCGCCGCGTTCCTAAGTTACACCCCGGGCATGGACAAAGGTCTTCGCATGTTCCCGCTCAAGTAAGTCTCCCCATAAGTCCGAATTCCTATCAAAAGTCTTGTCCGTCCGTGGCCTGCGCCTGACTCAAGGCAGGAGAGATCGCGACGACAAAATTAAATTTAATACATCAAGATTGATTTAATTTTTCCGCCACCGTCGACTTGGATGAATTATCTCCGTCTCCGTCGGTCTGATTAAAATCAAATACTATAATCAAAATTTACAGTCCTTTAGCGCGGGTTTAACATCCATGGAACGGACGACTCCAAATCGACGGTGGCGTGACATTGATCCCCGTTAAAAGTGTCTCGGTTTCGTTAAAAACTGGCCATCCCGTTCCACAGATTCGTCTGGTGGCTGCCCGCCATCCCGTTCATGTTGGCCATCTTCATCTACGATGAGACGAGACGATTCTACCTCCGCCGGAACCCCGGTGGCTGGCTCGAGCAAGAAACTTACTACTAGACACACGACACGAAACACGCCGTATACCCACGCAGAAGAACACACCCCCAAAAGTCACTCTCTCTCACACACACACGTTTAACATACGGGGCGTGCTACTGGGTCTATCCGTACTGTCGCGTGGATGGTCGGCGGACATTAATTAGCCGAGTCGCTTGGCATTAGGTATATTATCGCATCGAATCGAGCGACCTCGTCGTCGCCGTGGCTACAGGCTGCGAAGTGGTCGACGTGGGGCGACGGGGCCCAGGGTACGTCAGGACTCTCGCGCGTTTATCTGACACTGTGTGTGACGTATCAGGCACCGCCACGGTCCCCGTAGTCCGCGTGGACGCTCGCCCGAGCGTCGGCCCGAGGAGGAACGTCGACCCAAGGGAGACGCTCCCCCGGGTGGAGGTCCCAAGCCGGAAGTTCCGTCCCTCGGAATTAGTTTTGAGAGCCGGCACTCGAAGAAGCGGAGCTGGACGCGGAGTCGGAGGCGAACCTGGAAGCGGAGCTGGACGCGGAGCTGGAAGCGAAACTGGAAGCGAGGCCGGAAGCGAAGCCGGAAGCGCAGCCGGAAGCAAATTGGAAAACGAGCAGCAGGACCGGACAAGGACGGAACGGATCAGAATTGGAACGGGACGCGTCGAGGTGTGAAATCTTCGGACGGGCCTAAAAATGCGGTTTCAACGAGGGGACGCGTCGCGACAAAAAGGTCGCGTCGTGCCGGAAGGCGAGAGCGAAAAAGAGAGAGAGGGACACAGATGTATCTAGGTAGAGCGAATCCAGAGTAGGATGACGAGGGGGTCGGAGGGGGATTGACGAAGGAGGTGCGGATGCGCAAAGGCGAGGCGGAGATCGCCGGGATTATGGAGGCAGATCATGTAGGCGTCTTGTGATAACAAGAAATCTTCGTAGCAACCTATTAATCATCGATCGGTAGAGAATCCAGTACGCTAGATTGGCACGCCCTAGGCTAAATAAATGGTGGACCCAGGATAATAAAAGAGCGTAAATAACGGTTAATATGCTAAACAACGTAAGCGCTACTACGAAAGCGAGGAGCGGAGAGGAAATAAGATAAATAAAAGAACAAAAAAATACCTAAAAAACACAGTATATAGACGTCTCGTGACACCAAGAAATCTTCATAGAACAACCTATTAATTATAATTCTAACGACGAGGAGGAACCAGTACGCTAGATTGGCACGCCCTAGTTAAAAGAAACGTAAGAAGACAACAAAAAAAAAAATATACGATGAAGTTATTATTAAAGGATATTAAAAACAGGAGGGGAGAGAAAAAAAAAAGTAACACAGACACACACACGTAACTAATTGAGATAAAGAAACGCGTTTGCAGTATTCATTATTATTATTATGGATAATCGTTCGGTTCCAGTCTTACTCGAGTAGCTACGGTCAGGTCGCATCGCGTTATATACTTCAGTAGTGGAGTTCTCGGGGAAGATCACCGGAAAGGAGGAACGGAAACACGGGATGGGAGCCACGAGGCCACAAGGACAGAGCACGTTTGGCAGATTCCGAGAGAGAGAGAGAGGGAGGCAGGCGAGGAAAAGGCGTGGGTCGGGGGTGGAACGTCGAGCCGATCGACCGGACCGGATATCAGCGGACACCGTCCGAGGAAGATCCTGACCGATGACCGTCGCGTCCTCGTCGCGACGAGAGCCGGCCCTGGATAGGAAAGACCGCGTCGAAGTTCTCTCCTGGCCAGGATCCAAGGGAGAGGACGACGTCAGGGAGCAGGGCGCACCACATTCCGAGGCTGACGGATTCGAGGAGACGGATGAAAGAATCAATAAACAACCAAACATGTTATTAACGCTAATAAAGATTTTACGATAACGAAAGAAAAAAGAAACAGGAGAGAGGGAGGAAGGGAGCGAGGAGGAGCAAAAGCGAGATGCCTGACTCCACGGAGTTCGAGGAGAGCACGAAGCGGCGATGGGACGAGGTTGTTGGGGACTGGGTGGGTGGGGAGGGTGGGGCAAAAGTAACACATTCTTACGTAGGTGAACTAAAGAGTAAACGGTAAAACATCCATTCTCTTAGGTTTCTTTTCATAGGTTAAAAGCGCCCAGCGGGCCAGAGCTCGCTAGAAATCATTATCGAGCCCCGGAGCGCCGAACGCCCTGTTCTCAACCCGAGGCCGGGGGTCCCAGGGGACGAGCCGCGCGTTCACCCATCCGGGCGTACACCCACACACGCGAGACGTACACGAGACGCTCTCGAAGAGATACACCCGAGACTCGACTTAATAATGCCTGCCACGCGACTTTTGGGGCCAGGACGAGCGGAGGACGAGCAGGGGAAGGAGCGAGCCTGCGGAGAGAGTCCGGTCGGCCGTAGAGCCACCCTCGAGCGGACGGATCCACCAAGGTCTCCCACCGTGAATCCACCGGAAGCGTTCGATCCACGGCCGGCCAAGTCCCTACTCTCGCGGCCCCCGGGTCCACCCGGGGGCGCGCGCGGTGGTTCGCGGTGGGACAATCGGCAGCGGGGGACGCCGGGGTCGACCGCAGGCGACAGGCCCAAAAACTACCCAAAGTGTTCATTATCCGAGACACGTCCTCGAGGTGTCATCGCACGTGCGCGCGCGTCAGAGATTCACGTCCTTCCGTCGCCCGTCTACCCGTCGGACGGACCGCGGGCCCGCGAGGCCCCGAGGTCGCCTCGAGATATGTTCCCTTTGTTTTCGGCGACCCGGGACCCGGCGGGATCCGAACCCGCGGCAGCGAGGAGACCGGGGGCGCGACCTCCCCGCCGAGGAAGCGCCGTCGGTCCGGCGCAGTCCCGAGCGATCCCGGATACCTCGGGCTTCCGCTAGCTTTCTTCTCGTGCGTGCCTAGAGAGAGGTGTCGGAGGGAGGGGACCGGTACCCCTGAAACAGGGAACGGGGGGGATCGACCCTCGAGCGGGCGAGGTTGTCTACAGGGTGTTCCGTGCCGGGGGACGTAGGAGCCCAAAATGCTTTGCCGTCGTGCGCCGCCTCTCACTTTAGGCTAATTATTTAAATATTAATGATATAATATAATATAATAATAATGATAATATAATACATGTTACAGTAAGATATTATTAGATGTAATTATTATATATGGTTAGTCTAGATCGTGTTGTTGATGAAAAAAAAAGCAAACAAACTACGTATAAGCGAGAACAAAAAAGAGGGGGAGAGAGAGAGAGAGAAAGAGAGAGTGAGTGAGAGAGAGGGGGGAGGGAAAGGACGAAGGGCAACACGGCGAGGGGAATCTCGGTCTAAGACCACGCGGCGGACTGAGCGGGACTGCACGCACGCGTGGGTCGACGCATCGGCCGCGAGGCGCGTATCGAAGTCGACGAGAGACGCCGCGACCGTCCTCCCTGGGGGGCGGGGCGCGAATGCGGGCGCGAGGCGAGCGTCCCCCTCGCGGAGCGTCTCGGCGACGGGCCCTCTCTCCGTTGCCTTCGAATTTACGCGGGGCCGAGCGGCCGACGTCAAGGAATTAGGATGGAGAGCGAGCGAACTGGGGGAAGGAAGGAAGGAGAGAGTGGGAGAGAGAGAAAGAACGAGAGGGTGACGAGGAGAGAGACTAGGGCGAGGACGGCCTCCGCGGAAATTCAGTCGGATCTACGAACGGGAGGGTGAGAGAGGAATCGAGAGCGTGAGCGAGAGAAAGGGAGAAGAAAAGTGGGCGCGCGTCGGGTGCATGTGAAAGGGAGAGAAAGAAAGGGTGCGAGGGATGAGCGAGAGAGAGAAAGAAGACGAGAGCTCCGTGGTGTCACGAGAACGAAGGGTAGACGTCGGACCCTGCGCAGCCCGCCATACATGACAGAATCATTGAATGATTAAAATAAAAAATTGAATAATGTTTTATTAATATTGTACATATTTTAAATAATTGATGATGGACAGACAGATCGCGCGTAACCGGGAGACCCGCGAAGGCGCTCTACTTAAGAAGACCGCCTTTGGGATTCACGGGGTCCCTACTCTTTCTTGTGTTTTTCGTTTAGCGCAACTTAACACGTATACACCCCCGCAGTGCACGCGTATCGAGCCGCACGCAGGATTCATGCGCGAGCACTCGACGCGTACGTACACCCGCCCACGCGATTTGTCGTCGAATTATGCGCGCGCGTGCTCGCCGATTAATATACATACACCTACACGAGGAGACGAACACATACCACTCACCGCTCTTACCTACTATCTCTTATACCTTCTGATTGACGATTCCTTTCGTATGTTTATCTGTAAGTTCTGTTTTCACCCGCGAATACATTAAGGATGAAACGAGAGACATTGTCCAACCCAAGTGTCATTACTTTTGATGTTAAATAAAAAATACATAATTATTATGCGCCTCTAATATGTCAAAAATCCTTCTATGCTCTCGGGGCAGGTAAGTACGAACCGATTGGAAAATTAAGATATCGATAAAATGTGTGAACTCTGATGTTTGGTTCGATGACTTTGTTAACCGAATGCATCAAGATCAATGATAACATGGTGCATGTATTAAAGATTTTGCATAGTGGGTTGTAGATATGAAACCATTTGTTTAGAATGATACGAGCAAACTATAGTTGGCAAAAATACTTTCGTATTTTGTTCTTACTTACACCAATACCTTTAGCTTTACACAACGAGCGTGCAAGGAACGGAAGTATGTTCCTTATGAACTATTATTTTGGTGGATTATGAAGGAAAAGAAAACCGTGAACATTATAAGTAAAAGTAAAGTATATTCTTGTCTACATAAAAGACGTTAAATGAACACAGCATGTATAATTATTCGGTATCTTGTACACTTAATTTTCGTCTGTCTCTCGAAATATTCTTCTTCCGCAGACGTTGTATATGTTTTTTCAATTTACCAGAATTCTTCAGTTGTTCGTATTGAGATATAAGATCTAACACTTTCTTTTCAGCTGTAAACCAAAATTATGCGTTATACTCATACGTATTAACTAAAGGGATCTTAAATACGTATAATTTATACTCACACTTCTTTTTATAGGTTGGCCTCTCTCCGTGTTTAATCGCCTGAATGATTTCTTGTTTCTCTTGGTATTTCTTTTCCTTATCTTCGTTGTGCCTCTTCTCTTCTGTTAATTGATTCTTTAACCTCTGAATCAGATACTTTATTTTCTTTATTACTTTGGGATCTTCCGCAGACTGTAGTTCTTGGTGTAATGCCTCTAAATCATTTTCACGTAACTTACTAATGAACCCATAGGACCGTTTAAATGCTGTTTCGTTAAAGGTACCACAGAGACTATCAAATCGGGGATCACGAGGGACAATCTTTTTTGTAGATACCACTTCTTTGAAACGAGAAACAGGCTTCTTTGCAGACATTTCGCGAGGTCTGTTTTTGTTCTCGCGTTTGAAGTCAACTTTTTTAACTCTTTGTGGTCCAAAAATCGCTTCATTGTATACTTTTGATCCTAACTTCTCCTTAAGTCTCTTCAAATCCTCGAAACTCATGTGAGAAAGTTCTGCCCGGATCTCGGTCTGTCACAAAATAAAATATTTTCAAATCAAAACGAACATGCCTACCAAGGTGAACCTAACCTCGTCAAAGTAAATAACCCCTTTTGTAATTGCAAATCACTCAGACGCACCTGATCTTTGTCAACATCCAGCAGCCTGTCATCCTCGTCATTCATTTTAACCCAAATTACAACGGTTAAGAATAATCCGTTGAAACAAGGCTCTTTTGCTTTGCTATTACAGAGATGAGTTGGGAGATTGCTCACGGGCAAAGTCGCGCGATTACGGTCTGTGCTGCCCTCGGTGGAGAATGCAGGCGGCTAACGACCCTTGCCCCCAACGGCAACCGACTCTGGGATCTGGGAGAGAAGGAGGGATCAAATCAGGGAACAAACCCTCTAATCGCCTATGTTTGAGTCTTGAAAATCACTCGTAAACCTAAGATAATGATAATTTTCTTGCGGTGGGTGAAAACTTAGAAAATTTGCGATAAAATGTGGAACGACGTGGAAAGATGTTTGCGTACACAACCGCTAGATGGTAGCGGGTCGTGCTAGCAGCGAAATATGGGCCACGGCCACTCTCTATTACTTTATTCTTTGGCCACACATGCGCAATAGGTACTAGAGTTAATACGCAGGTGCAAATGGTTCGCCATTTGACTACAGAGATGAGTTGGGAGATTGCTCACGGAAGGGATCGTGCGATCGCATCCTGTGCTGCCCTCTGGTTTCGTACGTTAGCTTTCACTGTTTTTTGCCGCCAAGGGCGGCGCAACGAATTTCTGATATTGAGCTCGCGCACTCGCGATAACGGTACCATCTACCAGTGAC